AGAGACATCAGGTGTAGACAACAAAGAATCACTCGAAGCCTCTGTTGCACCATAGCAAACCATCGGAGACTACAACATTCATATACGTAAATTAATGAACCAGTTAATATATAAATGCAATACTCCGACGAACGTTGCTAAAACTCACCCTTCCATGAAATGCCTTATCAAACTTCGAAATTAAGTCATCATCACTTGAGAATCTCTCAACCACATAAATAGAGGATTTCATAGCAATATATTTTTCAGTTATAGAAATCTTGAAAAGCATATCCTTGCCAATCAAATTCCTAATAGCAAATGGCATCTCCGGATCGTCCCTCTAAAAATACAGAAAAGTTTGAGACCATAAAACATAAAAATATATATAAACCTCAAACAAAACACCTTTAAATAAATTCTTACATCATCGACCTCCTCGTATAGCTCCTCCGCCGTCTTATCAAAAAATCTAGCCGCCATCTTATCAAAGAAAGAAACTTTCAATGGAGTTCCCTCCGAATTGGCAACATCGAGAACCAAAAAATAACTAAGTATATAAGATTAAACGAATAAGATTATAACATTTACACAAATACAAATGATACAAAACGAAAAGACAATTGTTCATCTAAAATACCTTTCAACAACTGATGAAACATCTATATCACACTCATTACACTTCCATAATGGCAATCCCTGACCATCCACCTTATCAAGGTAAGGAAAAACCTTCTTATTGCACTTCTTACAAGCAATATAATACCACTTGCCATTGTTACCAATAGAGACGATCCTGACCATAACAATACACTTCCCAACCTACACCAACATATGAATGATAACCAAAATAAATCGACCAGCGACAAATGAAACCCCAAATAATAATAGATCAAACACCACCACAGTTGATTGGTGTACAGCTCTCAAAGACTTCCAGGCAGTCTTAACGAAGAAATCATCATACAAAGGCGGAAGGACCTCCGTGGACTCAAAATCATTAGAAGGCTCCAGACTAAATTTATTATCAGACAGCCTAAAATAACACATAAAATTATTAGATACATGCAATCTAAAAGTACAGGATATAAAGAATACACTACAATAACATAACAATTAAAATAAACATAGCCATTAATGAAACTCTTCGCAAGAGCTGTATTCGGATTAAACAAAATATCAGTCGAGCTATAAGAGTTGGAGATACTAATTTCACCTACATTTATTAAAAAGACTTCAATAAACTCATCACAAAGGATATTACATATTCGGCTACACAAGAAAATTACGTTAGATAGACCTATGTATTCTCTAATACATGCAAGTCTAATGACACACACAACAACGGTACCAGCATGTGCAGCTACATAATCAGCCATCGCCGTAGCATAATCATCCCATAAAGTGCACAGCAAACGAAGATCACTACAGCCACATCATAAAAACAACCACGTATAAATAAGAATTGAAAAAACACAAACAAATCAAATCACCATACCTTGTATCATGAAGTGTAAGTTTAAGCCTCATGCTGATTTTCCCATGGGCCATAACCTGATCAACGGTCCCCAAACTAACGACCTGACCTATGACATCTACAAATATAAACTTGAACTTAGCAATCATAAGGACACATAACTAACATAATAACTGCTTTCAAACACTTACCAATCAAGTATGACTTATCCAAATCGGTAGACAAAATCTCACTGAACGTACTAAAATATTTCTCGGGAATGGTTTTCGAATAAATCATGACAATCGCTCAATTCCGTGGTGTGATAAAAATAAATTTTATAAGGATGCCGACTTGTCCGATAGTCGCTCTTGTACTCAACGACCTTGAATGTATCGACAATGTAAACACTACCACAAACCAGCTTATCCTGAAATTTCTTTACGCATTTCTTATCAAGAGTAGCATGTACGCGCTCACCCTTGATAATTATTTAGGAGTGTTAATCGAATATATATTTAAGAAAATGTAACACAACAAAACGACAATAATTTGATAAGGAAAAATAAAAAAAAACTCACATATGCATCAACGAACACGACATCCATCATCTGCCCAACTCTAACCCAAAGTTTGAGTACACGAAGCTTTATCTTATAGCGATCAGTCTCTGGAGTCAAATCCTTTATGTTAACCAAAGAACCAGGCTTTCTCTTGAAAATAGACATTATCCAACCCGAACAATGCAAAATCTCTTTGTAAATATCAAACTAATAACCGCGGACTTTCTGTAAGCTCTGAAAATAAAAGTGATATTTTTTTATCGCGTTTCTTGGCATCTTATAGCTAGAGTTGCAAGATATATATATCCTATCTATATATATATATATATATCTAAAGGCCAACGATGCTAAACAATTATGCCATTATCACAAAATATTCCATAGCAAATAATTACCAAAAAATTTAAGTAACTAATTATGACCGACGTCAAGAATAATAATATATTTCCCAAAACATTGTAAATATACGATATATATCTCGAATATAGATATACAATATTTTATTAAAAAAAAAATTAATGTCGAATATGCACAAAGTAACAATATCGGTAAGGATGAATATTGGAATAAATATTTAAAATATATATAAGACACGATACAGGATATTTATCAATGTTATACACAGCTACGATATTATCCTAACATTTTTGTTGGATTCAAATATTAGCCATTAATTATAACCGACATTATAAGGTATAGTATATTTTCCGATACATTACATATAAGACCAATATCCTTAATATCAATATATAACATTTATAGAGAAACTCCGATAAGGATAAAAACTTACAAAGTTACAATTTCGATAAAGATAAAGTCTGAACAAATCTTGATATATATACATATAACACATGTTACAGAATATACTCAAAATTTTGCATGATACAATATATTCTCGAATAGGTATCACAAATATGATCCACATAAGAAAAGTCTTAGATATTTACCGAATCAAAATTTTCATACGCCATATCTACTGTTAGCATTTAAATGTCCTCAGGATAACACGTATACCCATAAAAGAAAACTAAAGATTGAAACAAATCTTAATAATATATATAACACATGCCACATCATATTCTCGAAATCTTGCATGATACAAATATCCTCAAAGTTACGTTACAAATATCATAAAGCTTATATCGAAGCCAAAACTCCAGATACCAGAATCAAATACCACAAAATCTTAATCCAAATTAAAAATTTGCATGCGAGAATCCAAGTTAACATTTATACGTCCTTAAGATCATATTTTTACATTCTCATAAAACTTCCGCCTAAAAATATGCCAAGCTAATACGATGAGTCTCATCTTCTTCAACCAAACACAATCATATAAGCTGAAAACAATACATAACCACACCATATAAATTATACGCCAAAACTGATTATCGACAATGACATACATAATAAGACAGTAAATTAAAATCATATTTATTAGATATCAAAATAAAAAAAACTCCAACCACAGGGGACATAATAAAAATACATAAACGCAAAACCTAACACCATAATTTTCGTTATTTTGAAAGAAAAGGTCGCTCGACTAATCCCAAATCATAACAGACTCCAATGGCCCCAGCTAAAGATGTATATAAAACACCATTAATTGTTCTGATGTCTCTAAAACATGTCGCCCCTCTAACAACAGCTAACAACATCCCGAGGTAATAGAGCTCACCACTTTCTGGCTTCACACAGGAAAGTCCTACGCCACTTCTCCTAGACCTACAACGATGCCGCGGTAGCCATTTTCTGATGTTCTTATGCCAAACAAACCAAATCGAGAATTCAGTATACAAAATATGTCTCGACTGAGGATGGTGTTTATTGTATTCCATCCAACTCTGAAACTGAGATGTTTGAAAATAATATCCGGGATCAGGTGGTGTAAAGTCGTCCGAGAAAATGCTATCCTGGTTCCTCGGTAGATGGAAAGGCAAGATAGTCATCTGAGTATGCTTACTGTATAAAAGAAACAAAATTTAGATACACAAAGAAACCAATATAGTAGAGCAAAAATAGATATATGTAAACAAACGAAAAAGACAAAACAATAAACAGCATCATCAAGAAAACAACACAATAAACAAATCAAATCTAAATTTTATAACAAAGCATTAGTTGTAATCAGCATAGGATGAATCGAAATGGTAAAAAGTTTAAGAAGCAATACCTTTTATACAAACTAAACTCACGACCACCAGCAGATATAAGCCTGGAAGCTCTATCACCAAAACGAAACAATGAAACCTAATCAAATATCCTCTCTTGCAAGTTACCTGCGGAACAACGAAAAACCAAGAAGAAAAAATCAGAACATAAGAAACAAAACACAATGCACCAAACAAAAACTAAACCCTAAACTATGACCTACATGTCAATAATCAACAAATAAACCTAAGCAGTTGTTTAGATGAATGAGATATACGGGGTATATATAACTATCAAAATTTTAGGATTTTTATTTTGTAATATGATTTTGAGAGGCAGCTAACCTTTTCAAATGGTCCATTGGATACCATTTTCAAAAAGCTCAACAAAAAAATTATATGAGAATCAGTTTAAATTTTAAATTACTATAATCTATTTTTAAATGAGAACCAAATCAAACCAATCAACTTAAAATCCAAAAATTACCACTAAGGGCAAAATGCACTAATCCCTCTGAGAAGAACTATAGTGCATTTCTGACTTCACAAATAATAATATAGATACTTACAACCCAATAATATGCCCAATGCCCCTCTTAAAGCGGAGTCATGTTTGTTTTAATATGCATAAAAACTATACACATTATTTTAATAATCTGATATAATATTTCTTAAAGGGACAAGAAACATTAATAAAAAATAGTCGTTTAAAAAGCATTTTTAAAACTTCCCCTGGTTTTAATAGTTGGCTGATATGTTTTGACTTTGAATCTATAACCTCGCCGAGGACAACAGCACGACATGTACGTATCCATCTATAAATTAGACTCCGATTCTTTAGACGAGCCAAATACATCACAATTTCCAACAAAAGAAGAAAAAAACATTACAACTACAGAAATAACAGGTGGAGAAAAAAATGTCCGCAATGCCTAGTAAGTGTTTTCCATTATTATTGTATATAAATGGCATTGCTACAAAGGCTTTAAACTGATTTTCTTTCATCCTTCTTTCCGTTCAAAACAAATTGGTAGACTAACTCTTATCTTTTATAAACTAATAAACAGAGCATATACTCTAATGATTTGTATTGATGTTATTGCACCTGAGTTCAAATCTACCCTTATATTACATATTGGTAAAAGAATAAAAGATCATTATTGTCAAGCCATGTTGATCATTCAGTTACAAATTCAAGAGGGTGCATATGCACCCAAATATGATCTCGGAGGCATATATAGTAGTAGGGATACACTGTTGGATTAATTGGAAATGAGTTATGGATTTAATAATGATCTAAAACATCAAAAGGGTTGATTTTTTCTGACTGCATTCGGGACATAATGGCATTTGGAATAAAAGCTGATTTGGGGTATTAGAGAACACTATGGGTTGAAACTTGAAAGTCCCGTGATTTTTTTTTTATAAAAAAAAAATACATAGTTAATTTACCGATCTTATTAATGTGAAGTTCCTTTGGCTATGCGCAGTGAAGACGTCATGGCCGGAGCTCGTGGGTATAAACGGAGACGAAGCTGCTTCGGTGATAAAAAGCGATGAGCCGAGCTTGGAAGTTGTCGTGCTTTTGGGTGGAACTCCGGTTTCTATGGACTTTGTGTTTGAGCGGGTCAGAGTTTGGGTCGATAGTGACCGTATCGTCATCAGAGTTCCTAGGGTCGGGTAAGACTATGGTGTGACACAATGATGATGTTCTCTCTAGAGAAGAAAATCAACAAGACAAATAAAATCAAACCGAAGCGGTTTATGTTATTCCACATCAGCTGTTAATAAGGAGAACAATCCTGGGTCTCCCTAAGTGTAGGAGCAAGTCTCCACCTTTCATTTCCCTTTCTCTTAATTTGTAAGGAGCAAGTCTCCACTTTTCCCACTTTCTCTAGCTTCCCGAGGGATTTGGAGACCTAATGCAAAAGTAAATAATTCATTATATTTTCACATATATTATATACTAATTATCATCATATCTATTACTATAAAAGTTGATGCTAAATGCATCTAAGCATGTCCACATATGATTTAAAGATTCAATTCTATTGGTACACATAATCATTATCTTTTGTTATTATATATTGCATATTAAAATTTATTAATTCGTTTTAATTATTATAAAGAAATTTTTTTAATTTTAGTTAATTTCGTTTTTGTTGTTATAAGAAAATTTTCTAAATTTTAAGTTAGTTATTAATAAAAAAAATTTTGAAAATAGATCTTATTTTTCTATTAACAATTAACACTAAATTAACATATAAATAGATTATGAAAGAAAAATTATATATATTAAAAAACATAATTAGAAACTTTATTTAAAACTATAACTAAATTATTTTAAAATTTTAATCAAGACGAACAATTAAAATTTGAACTGCTAACTTAAAATATATTATTTATGGTCCGTGTTGATGTCTTAGACCAATGAGAGCGTCCACATAGGAAATATATACTCAATTTGATTGGTCTATATCAGTATTTTTTATTAAACATAAAAATATTATATATTATTAATAATTTAAATAATTAAAACATTAAAAATATAAAATTATCATAGTAGAATGGAAAATTAGGATAATTTTTAAAAATAAATAAAATAAATTTATGTCGAAATGTCCAAATCTATAATGTTTGTCAAAATAAAATGGAAACTCATTGTCACAAAAACTAAACTAACAAAAACAAATATATAAATCAATAACAAAAAAGTTAAATTAAAAGAAAAAAAATTAGCATGTATATTTTAAATGAGTAATAGTTTTAGAAAAAATATCAAGATTAAATTTTTATATAAGCATATAAAATTTTATTTAAAAATATCAATACTACCAAAAAAAACATTCATGTTAAATGAACAAAAGAAAAAGTCATCTAAAACTTGAAATTTAGTTTAATTATTTAGAAAATGAACACAAAAAACTTAACTAACCAAAAATGAAACTTTATGCTAATTACTGAAGAAAGCAGTATAAAAAAATTAACTAACAAAAAACAAAACAAAAATTATTTCTTGCAACATGTCAATACAATTAAAATGAAAGTCTATATCGAGAAAGTTAAACAGAATATGTAAGAGAATAAAAAATTTAAGTAATACTAAAAAACTTAACTAACAAAAACAATATAAATATTTAAGCTAATTATTTAAGAAATCAATATTAAGAAATTAATTAACTAAAAAAACTAAAACGAAAATTAAGTTTTACAAAATTTTAAATGTTTTTTAAAAACACCTAAAAATATATTGACTTGATATCTGACTAACTACTTAATAAATCAATATAAAAACATTTAACTAACAAAAAATAAAAAATGAAATTATGTCTTCAAAATACAAATATTTTCAAAACAATTGTGTATTAAAATAAAATAAAAACCAATATCAATTGAGGTATATTATCAAAGGAAAAAGCCGTATAAAATAAAATTATCTTGATATTTAGGACTACCAAAAAATATTAACTAAAAAAAACAAATGATGGTATAAGCTTTTGAGAGAAGTTCACATAATTTTTAGAATAACGAGTTATAGCATGTCAAAATAGCATTTTAATTAATTTTAAAAGTAAATTTAACAAAGAAAAAACATTTATGAAAAAGACTTTAAATTAATATATATGCATTTCGAAAATCAATAACAAAAGAGATTAATTAAAAATATATATGCTTTAAGTATATCAATCATGCAAAAAAATAGATGATTAAAATACAATCTAAAATTACCAGAAAAGATATTTAAAATAATAAAAAAATAATATCTAAGAAGAAAATTAGTTTGAAATTTAGTTCCATGATTTCTAAAATATTGGTGTTGACTATGAATAACCATATAAAGTTATAGTATGTTATACATGTTTCTAAATCAAACATATTATTCAAATTTACAAAGATTAATATCTTGGATGCATCTGATTTAAAAACTAACAAAGAAAAATACTACACAACTAACTTTACATTCAAAATATAACAAGTAAAAGTCTGATTTGTATACATAGTTACTGTTTATATAACTTAGCCAACATGAGCAACATCTTCTAAAAATTGATTTAAAAAATAAAATGTGACAAAATTATGAATCAAATTCAAATGGAAATATATGTAGGTAAACTATTCAAATCAAAATATGAATAAAACATACAAAAGATAAAAAAAAAACAGTGATAATATGAAGTCTCCACACCATCTTACATGTTTAAAAACAAAAATTAGCAAATAGTTGACTGCAAATAATACAGATTTTATAAACTGAGTAGAGATATAACATAAATTCGTAGAAGATCTGGTGAAGAAGCAAAAAGCAACTTTACACGATTTGTATAGCTTACTAAAAAAAGTAAATCTGTATCAATATATATCATATATTATATATGTATAGGTACACAACATCAGTGAGACACATCATCTTACATGTTTAAAAACAAATATTAACAAATAGTTGACTGCAAATAAAACAGATCTTATAAAACTGAATAGAGATATAACCTAAATCTCGTAGAAGATCTGGTAGAGAAGCAAAAATCAGTTTTACACGATTAGTGTAGCTTACTAACAAAAGTAAATCTGAATCAACATATATCATATATTATATATGTATATATACACAACATTAGTGAGACATTCAGTAAAGAAACTAAATATTTAAACATATAAACCTTTCAAAAAAAAAGAACTATAGAAATCTTAAGGACACAAAACAAAACACCAAAAATTTAGTAAATAAATTATTTTCTAAATCAAACGTATGCACATCGAAGTTGGATAATTCGTTAAATGTCATTACTATGTTTACTTAATAGGAAAACTATATATTATGTTTTAATTTTTTTATATAAAAGAAAAATTCTATAAATATATTACAGTTTTGATAATTTAAAAGATATTAGCAAAAAAAATAAATCAAATTATTAATACAGACTCGCGCGTAGCGCGAATTAAAAACTTAGTTACTAATAAAAGTTGATGTTAAATGCCTCTAAGAGTGTCCACATAGGATTTAAAGATTCAATTCTATTGATACACATCATTATTATTTTTAGTTAATTACATATTGTATATTAAACTTAATTAATTCGTTTTAATTGTTAAAAGGAAAATTTCTAACTTTTAATTAATTTTGTTTTTGTTGTTATTAGGAAATTTCTAAATTTTAAGTTAGTTATTAATAAAAAAGAGTTTTGAAAATAGATCTTATTTTTCTATTAACAATAAAAAATTAAATTAAAATATAAATAGATTATAAAAGAAAATCATATATATTGAACAAAATTATTAAAAACAGTATTTAAAACCATAATTAAATTATTTTAGAATTTTAATCATGACAAATAATTAAAATATGAACTGCTAACTTAAAATATATTAGTTGTGGTCTGTGTTAATGTCTTAGACCAATGAGAGCGTCCACATAGGACACATATACTCAATCTGATTAGTCTATATCAGCGTTTTTTATTAAACATAAAAAATAAAAAATATTATTAATAATTTAAATAAATTAAAATACAAAAAAATATAAAATTATCACAATAGAATGAAAAATTAAAATAATTTTTTAACTAAATAAAATAAATATATGTCAAAAGTCTAAATATATTGTGAAAATAAAATGGAAACTCATTGTCAAAAAACTAAACTAACAAAAACAAATACGTAAATCAATAACGAAAAATTTAAATTAATTTTAGCATATATTTTTTAAATAAGTAATTTATTTAGAAAAAATATTAAGATTAAATTTTCATATAAACATATAAAATTGTTATTTAAAAATATCAATACTACCAAAAAACAATTCATCTTAAATTATCAAAAAAGAAAGTCATCTAAAACTTATAATTTTTGAGGAAATATTTAAAAAATTAACACAAAAATCTTAACAAACCAAAAATGATACTTATGCTAATTACTGAAGAAAGCAATATAAAAAAATGGTTAACTAACAAAAACCAAAACATAAATTATTTCTTACAACATGTCAATATAATTAAAATGAAAGTCCATATCGAGAAAGTTAAATTAACAAAATGAGGATATTAACTTAATATCTATGTTATTTATTTATCAAAATCAATATTAACAGAATAAGCAAGAGAATAAAAAAAACTTAAATAATACTAAAAAATTTAACTAACAAAAATAATATAAATATTTAAGCTAATTATTTAAGAAATCAATATTAAGAAATTAATTAACTAAAAACTAAAACAAAAATTAATTTTTACAAAATATTTTTTTTTAAAACACTTAAAAATATATTGACTTGATATCTGACTAACTACTTAAAAAATTCATATAAAAATATTTAACTAACAAAAAATTTATGTCTTCAAAATATCAATATTTTAAAAACAATAGTGTGTTAAAATAAAATAAAAATCAAAATCAAGAGAGGTAAATTATCAAAGAAAAAGTAGTATAAAATAAAATTAGCTTGATATTTAGACTAACTACCAAACAAATATTAACTAAAAAAGCAAATGATGGTATATGCTTTTGAGAGAAGTTCACTTAAAATTTAGAATAACCAGTTATAGCATGTCAAAATAGTATTTTATTTAATTTAAAAAGTAAATTTAACAAAGAAAAATCATTTATGTAAAAGAAATTAGATTAATATATATGCTACCTATTTGAAAAATCAATAACAAAAGAGATTAATTAAAAATATATATGTTTAAGTATATCAAACCTGTAGAAAATTAGATAATTAAAATAAAATATGAAATTACCATCGAAGATATTTAAAATAATAAAAACCAAGAACTAAAAAGAAAATTAGTTTGAAATATAGTTCCAAAAATATTCATGATTTCTAAAATATTGGTGTTGACTATGAATAACCATATAAATTTTTAATAGGTTATACAAGTTTCTAAATCAAACATATTATTTAAATTCACAAAGACTAATACCTTGGTTGCGTCTGGTTGAAAAATTAACAAAGTCAAATACTACACAAGTAACTTTACATTTAAAATATAATAAGGCTTCAACTAGTGACCAAGGGAATGAGGGGGGATAATGAATTCCTCTTCATTCCTAAAATTTTTTACCATTTG